AAAGGATTATAAAAAAGGAATTAATAAGAGACGTTTTAAAGTAAAATAGAGGGGATATATTAAGTACTTCGTAAGTTATATAACGAACGCCTATAACTTATATAAGATCTAAATCCCTTCGCTTTTAAAAATTATTATTACTTAAAATATAATATTTAATAAAATAGCTTTTTATTTAAAAAATAATATTAAAACTATAATTTATTTACTTAAGTTAAGGGCCGTAGTAAATAAGATTTAATAATTACTTATAATAATTAAACCTAAGCTTTAATTACTTAGAATTATAAACAAAAAAGAGGCCGTATTAATTAATAATAAAGAGTAGCTATTACTATTTATACTTATTTTATAAAAAGTAAATAAGGCCGTAAATAAGCCTAGTTCGTTTCTAAATAAATAAAATAAATAACTACTTACCCCTAAACTAACCTTAGATTTTAAAAATCTAGAGTTAAAAATAAACCTTACTTAGCTAACTAAATTAGTAAATAAGATTATAAAAAAAGTTAATCTTTTTATTAAGAAGATCAAAAACGTAATATATATATAAATAAAAATAAAAACTTTTTAGAGTTTTTATAAAAAAGATCTTTTTACTTAATTAGACCCTAACGAACCCCTTTAATAAGTAAGCTTATATTAAAAAATAAGAGTAATAAACGACCTAGTTAATAACTCTAATATAACTAATATATATAGTTAAAAAAAAATAAGTATATTAAATAAAACTAGAGGTTAAAAAACTAACCCTTAGAAATATTTATTTAAAACCCGAATTAATAAAAACAATTTAAATAATACTCTTTTTATATTTAAATAAAAAAAGACTAGGACTCCTTTTTTAATATATATATATTTAATTAATAAAAAGTAATTAATAAGGTAACTTAAAGATATCGGACGCTATACTACTATATTTATACCGTAATTAGTAAAACGAAGTACGTTTTACTAACTACGGTCTAATTTAACTAAATTTATATAGATTAATTAATTACCCCTCTAGAGAAGTAAAAGAATATTTTTAAAATATTAAAACCTCTAAGAAGTTAATTTATAAAAGTAGTATAGTTAAAAATCTAAAAACTAAAAAAAATAAATACTTAGAAAGTAGTTAGTAAAGCGTCGGTTATTTCTAAACTAATACCCCTTAAATAAGTATTTAATTATAAACTTAATAATAATAATTACTTTAATTATTATAAAGCGAGAATTTATATTAGGGGGGACTTTTAAAAATAATACCCCCTAAAAAAGACTTACGTAGCGACGCTAGTTATTAAGACGTTTAAAATAGCTATAGTTATTATTACCTAATTTAATTTAGAAATTTATTAATATAATATTATAAATACTTTTTTAAATATAATTAAGAAGCTAAGTAATCCCCCTATTATTTATAAACTTTTAAATAGCTTTTATAAGTTAAAAATATATATAAAACTCGAGCGGGCCCTATATAGTACCCGTAACGCTCTATTATTATAATATAAAAAGCTAGTATTAACTTTTAAAAGTCTAGGTCTCTTATTTATAAATAAGGACCCGTACTTATTCTAAGACTTTATTAAAAGGGTTTTAGTTCTTTTTTACGTAAATAATATCCTCGTTTTTTATTATAAAAACTACATTTACGAGGCCGGTTAAGTAACTAAGGGACTTAAAAAAAAGTATAAAATAAAAAACTAGGGGCTAGTTTTATAATATTTTAAAATAAAGGTCGTTTATAATTAATTAAATAAAAAGATCTATTTAGTTTATAATTAGTATTTTAAGAGAATAATTAAAAAGTTCGATCTTATTAACTTTACTATTCTTACGACCCTATTACTAATAATCCTAATTAAAAAAAACTTAGGGATTATATCCCTAAGTAAAACTAAGTTTTTTTAAAAAAAAGTTAGTTTAATATTATATATAATAATTATAATTCGGCTTAATATCGCTTTTATATATATTTTACTTTTTTAGTTCTTAACGAACCTATTTTATTAATATTATTTTATTATAAATTAAGTTATACGATACCTTTTTTATATATAATACTTAGTAATATATTTTAAAATCTCGGGGGGTAATTAAGTATTATTAATTATAAGCGACGCTTTGTTTATAAATAATAAAGAAACCTAAAGATCCTTATAAGGTTTTATAATCTCCCTTTTTAATAACCTTATTTAATAAAAAGTAGCTTATTAAAATATAATAACTACGTTAATTATAAAGGCCGAATTACTAAGTTTAGAATATATAACTAAAGAGATATTTATTTTTAAATACTTTTTTAAAAATATCTTACTTAAGCTCGGTAACGTATAAAAAATATACTACGATAATTATTAAATAATTAAACTTATAATAAAAGAAAGGGAACGTATTTTAACTTACTTATATTACGTTAATATTTAAAATATATAATTATAATAAAAGTACTTAAAAAGCTTATTCTAAATAGTTTATATACTAATAAATAAAATACTAACTAACGGTTTTATAAAGAACTTTTTTAAAGCGAAGTTCGAGTACTTTATATTATTTTTAAATATAAAAAATATATAAAAAATAATTATACTAAACGAGGGGATGTTTAAAAAATAGTAAAACGGCCCGGGGGGCCTAGTTTTTAATTAAAAAACGTAGCTTATAACTAGGGAGTATAAAGTTATTTTAGTAACCCCGTTAGGTTATTTAAAAAGAGGCTATTTACCTAAGAAAATAAGTATAAATTTATTTAAAAAAGACTTAAATACGGGCTATATACTTAGAAAGATATATAAATTAATAAGAGTATTAATTTTAATTTAAATACTATTTATTTTTATAAGTAAAATAGCTAATATTGTTACGTTTTTAATAAGTTCTTTTAATAATATTTTTAATATAGAGAGAGTATTTATAAATACCTTTTTTATTAAGGCCTCGCTTATATAAACCCCCTTACCCTTACCCTTATTTAAAAAACCGTTATACTTAAGGGCCTTATATAACATTATTATTATATAAGTTAGGGACTATATATCGGATTATAAATAATAAATAAAACGAGGATAGTTAAGAACTTATTTTATAAAATATAAGTAGTTCTATATTTATAGTTATAATTATTATTATTTATTTTATTAATACCCGCTTAAAGTATAAGAACTTTATACTTAAGTTCTATATATACTCTTTAAAAATAGGAATATAACTTATTTTTTTATAAGTTTAGTAGTATTAGTATTTATTATTAGTACGTAAACCTAAGAAGTATATACTATTTAAATAGTTACTAAGGGCGCTCTTAATATACCCGAGGTATTTATAACTAAACGGGAGAAGTAAAAATACTAGCTTATATTAAACCTTAGTACTAAAAATAGTATTAAGAGGGTCCGTTATTAAAAATTAGTTTTATAAATAATAATAAATAAAAAAATATTATACATATAGTTAACTACTCTATACTTTTTAAAAAGAAGTAAGGGAGGGGGTTATAAACTTATTTTATTATTCTAGTCCCCCTAAAAAAAGTCTTTTTCTTTTTCTTTTTTTTATTTAAAAAAAAATAAAAGAAAGAGCTATAAACCCTCTTTATTTATATTATCTTTTTAAAAAACGAGGACTTTTTTTTAATTTTTAAAAAAAAGCGAGAGAGGGGGTTATAAACCCTCTTTACTTTTACTATTTTTTTAAATAACTCGTTTAGTTATAAAGCTATTACTTATTAAATAAAATAATTAAATTAATATTAAATAAATAAAACCGTATTACTAATTAAAAAATAAAATTAAAAAATATTACTTATCTTTTATAAGCTTATTATTAGGGTTAAGAGAGCTACCGCTCTCCCCCGAGGCCGTAACTTTATACTTATACTTTTTAACTTTTTATACTATAATAATACGAGCATAGTTTTTAACTATTCGTTTTAATAATATTTAAATAAAAATAATACTATTAATAAAAATCCTTTTTTAATAATACGTATATATAAAAACGCGGGTATAAAAATAAAAAATAAGGGTATATATATATATAATAATAATATAAATATAAGTTAAAAAAAAAAAAAAGTTAGTACTATGGGTAATAATAAGAAATTTATATATTTACTACTCTTAACCCGTAAGTTAATTATTTAGTTAATAAGAAGCCGTCTCTTAGTCATACTTTTTATTAATAATATAGCCTTAAAATTACTTATAATAATAAACACAGAGGTTAATTTATAACTAATTTACCCCTCGTTTATAACTTTATATATAAACTAATTTATTTTATAATTCTTTTTATAAATAAATTCTTATATATTAATATTTAGTTTTCTATTTTTAACGGATTTATTTATAATAATACAAGTAATTAAGCGCGCTTTTTCTAAATATATATTTATTTAGGAGGGTATATTATAATAGTTTTAACTATTTATAGCCTTATTATATATTACGTAACCTCGGTTATATAATTACTAAGGCCTACTTTACTTATACCCTCTATATTAAAACGAGCTTCGAGCTTATTTCCTATTTTTAATAGATAACCGTTCTCTTTATATACGTCAATGCCCCTACAGTGACTCTACGACAATTCCCTTGCTATGCTCCCTGAAGGGCGACTGTCAGATATGTGGCTACAGTGTATTTGGCCGAGTTCTACGTGTCTGTAAGTATGACCGGCCCTTTTACAACAGCTGGTCCACTGCCTCTGGCCCCACTATCACAACTCACCTCTTTAAATGAAGTCGGGAGACATATCCGAGCTCCAGAGCTGAGAGATAATATCCCCGTAGCGTGCGTCCTCGAAACTTCGGAGAGGATCTCACGAAGAGTGCGGTGAACCGAATGGAACAAACCCAATTCTATGGGGCCCATACCGCCTAGCTAGGAGCCTCGGATGAACGATTCCGTTCTGTATTCTGGTCTTTGAATCAGTTCTCATCATCTGACATCTTTGATGCCGAAATTCACAAAGTTCCACTGCCTGAGCAGTGACAATTAGACGAACGCCCCTGCCACATGATATGTGTCTCGGAATGGCCGGGACCAGACCTCAGTGGCTCTTACCTGATGTGAGTGTATTTCAAATGCACAGTAGGTTTGAATTGAAAGAGCACCTTGTTTGAAAGGTATCAATTTGTTCTCGTATTGATCCAGTTCGCCTTGACGCTTTCTGTTTGTCAGACACAGTCGAAACACCTGCCAATTGCCACATTGACCAAGATGAGTTCCAATACCAGTACTCCAGGAATGGAGCTATTCGTCCGCAGGATTGACGAGAATGCCAAATGGCAACCTCATCATGCACTTGTACGATTCGCTGGCGGGTCTGACTGGGAGACAGAGGGTTACCGTTCGTTGACTTGGCAACAATACGCCGATGGCATCAACAAGACTGCACACTGGCTTGACAAGACCTTTGGAAAGTCTGTGAACAACGATACTGTTGCGTATTCTGGTCCCAGTGACGTCCGATATGCGTTCCTATTCGCAGCATCAGTCAAGACAGGTCGCAAGGTATACAATGACCATCCTAAGTCAAATCACGTTTATGCTAACATTGATTAGTTGCTTGTTCCAGATGGTCGTTTCATGAAGGACGGACTTGATGCGCTGCTAGAGTCATCAAACTGCAAGATTTGGCTGTATTCCGAGGGAGGTGCATTCAGCCCCGAGCCTGAGCTTGCAGCATCTGGTATCCATGTTGAGCAGTTCCAAAGCCTCGAATGGTGTCTTTCTGCTCAAGGAACCGAGCCCTACGCCTATGAGAAGACTTACGAGCAGGCGAAGGACGATGAGATTCTCATCATCCATACTGGAGGCACCACAGGTATGGAAACGTAGGGAGTTTACACGGTTGGTATCACCGGACACTAACCAGTGAACAAAACAGGTGCGCCTAAGCCAATCTTCATGAACAATGGCTTCTGGGCGGCTGGATGTTCATCTGCCGGCTTGGCTCGCCGTCACTGGCCCAGGGGGATATCTACAGATTCTTTCTATGGCCGTTCCCTGATCTTGGCAATCCCAATGAGGCTGCAGCCTGGCCTTGTCCTAATCAACATGTTTGCCGTTTTCTCTGGCACCTGTGTTATCCAACCCCCTCCGGATGTGGTCGGGCTTCCGCCAGCTATTTTCCAGAAGCTTCTGCGTCTCAACAAGGTTGATGGGCTGATGGGATTTCCTTTCACCATCGTTGACCTATACAATAACGAAGAGACGCGGGAATCACTGAAGTCGCTTGAGTTCATCACTTATCTAGGATCTGCTCTCGATCGCGTTGTCGGGGACGCATTGTGCGAACACACCAGGCTCAATTCTGTCATGGGAGCCACAGAGTCTGGTGGTCGCTTTTCCCTGCATCCCATCGACAGGAAGCTATGGTATAGCTTCCAGTTCATTCCTGAGCACCATGTTCGTTTGGTCAAGCTAGAGGGCTCTGGTGAAGCTCTGGGTGACGGAGATGACTCTGATGTGTATCAGATGTTCATTGACAGGCCACCTGACGGTGGACCATCCATCTATCAGTGTGCCTTCTGGAACTACAAGATGTTCAAGGACGTTGAGACGATCGATACGAAGGAGTTGTGGCGTCCGATCAAAGACAGCGACGGCAGTACCCGATGGGAATCGGTGGCCAGAACTGATGATTGGACGAAGCTGATTTGGATGGCCAAATTCCACGCTCAGGACATCGAGACCAAAGTCTCCAGGTACCCTGGAGTCAAACACGTCATGGTCGGCGGTGCAGGGCGCATTGCACCATACGTCCTGATAGAAGTGAGGGAGGATCTGCTTGGAAGGAACCACGAAGAGCTTCTTGATGATATTTATGAGAAGACTATTGTGGGACACAATGAGATTTCTGCGAAAGCAGTGGCCATTCCGAGACAGACTGTATTCTTGGCCAGCAAGGAAAAACCTATCAAGCTGACTGTCAAGCAATTGGTGCTTCGGAGGGAGGTCGAGAAGGATTACAAGGAAGAGATTGAGGACGTATACAAGACGCTTGAGGCTGCAAGCAATCAGACGGCAGGGGAGAAGTTCGTGCAAAACATGAATTAATAAGTAGAACCTCATTAGTTATGCAGTGTGTGACAGATTGTTCTTAATTACAGATGGGTAGTCAAAAGAAGTTTCTAAGCTTCCGTGTCAAGAACATGCTGACCCAACTATTCGATTGGCCTAGCACAACATCTTTGTCTTCTTTGTCCATCTGCTTATTCTTTTCTGGGAGTCAAAGAGCAGAATATCCATGGTCCTTATCAATGGTCGAGTACAAGTATAGGCAAAAAAAAAAAACTTTTGTAGTGTGATTGAGTCTTTCGAGTCCACTACTAGTCTTAGTTCGCCTTAGTTCTCTCCCAGAAGCTTGATTTCATGGCCATTTCCTTCTCTCACAAACCGGGTGACAATGATAGCTATAAGCGACACAGCGCTACTAAACCAGAATATGACCCCAGTCAAGTTGTGTGTCGACCCAAAAGCGTACATATTTCCAGCCATGGCTGAACTGGCAGCTCGAACCGCCATCGACGTGAAGAACGTGATACTATGAGTCCTTCCCAGTGCCGATGGATGAGGCGAGGAGAAATTCGCCAGTAGCAGCTGCGAGGGCGTCACAACACTCGTTATGAGAGATGTTGAGGTTTGAATTACCACCAAAAACGCCCATACAGCCACACCAGTCTTTTCGGATGGAGGCGGTGTAGAAGATGGAATGACAGCAACATATGGGTATGCAAAGTAAAGCAAGGGGAATCCGAGATAGAATAGTTGCCAGAGTCTCAAACAGCCAAGGCGCTGATTAAGCCAAGGGTAAACAAAAATCTGCATGGGAATACCGACAATCCCTGTATTGCGTCATGTTAGCCAATAGCTCTTCATATGGAGGAATGTTCACATTATCAATGAACAAAGTGAGGTATTTAAGATCTTACCAAACACAGTTGAGTACCAGGCAAGAGACTTTGGCCTAAATCCGGCGCCGCCCCCGAAGCGGAATGGCAGAACTCTTGACAGTTCGGCTTCTTTGGTGGAAACCGGATCGACTAGCATATTGGCCATGGCAACGCTGACGCTGTTAAGATGGAGTTCATAAAGAAGAGTTGCCAATAGAACCAGGAGCATGTTAGTGGTGAAAATGCGACGTGTAGGGAGCTTCAAGTTCTTTTCACTTGGTGTAACGGGAACCCCTGGGGGTGTGGAAGCGCCAGAGTGATCATTCCCGTCAGTCTCCTTCAAGAAACCCATCTCTTCTCCATCCTCTTCTTCTGAGTTTATACGTGAGTACTGAGCGTCATCTGCCTTTCTGAATGGAACCAAGCGGAATATTGACAGCAAGTTCTTGGAGAAAGCGATTCCAGGGTCGAATCGACCTCTTAGAGATTTTGATGTCTGCCCTTCGTCAGTCTAAAGCGAAGCAATAAGTCGAAACTGAGCATTTATTGATGACAACATACCTCTTCAAGAAACAGAAATGCAGCAATTAGGAGAAGAAGCAAGAAGCCGGCGTTCAGTAAGGCAGGCAGTGCATATGGGTGTCTCCTCACAAAACTGTCGTCTTGGCCTGTTGTTTCAAGCTGAACAGTCCAACCTGCCACGAGTGGGCTGATAATTATGGCCATTCGAGTAGCAATTGGTAATAGTGCAAAAGCCCTGGCTTGGAAACTATTTTGAGTATGTCGGTCAGTCTTGGTTGTTTATAATCCTATATTTCTGATCCTCCATAATGGGAAACAACTTACCGCTTCTCCTGAACAACTTCGGAGACCATAGTTCTCACCATAGCGACATTCCCATTGGTTATCCCCTCAAAAATTCGAAGGAAGACGGCCTGCTTGAAGCTAGTGATGAAACCAAACAGCGCACAACTTATGACTGTGCATGACATTTAGAAAGTCAGTTGACATCAGAAATTAGATGGATCTTTCGCAACCCATATGTGATATCACTACAGTGTTGACTTACATGATCCAGACAAACTCGTTAGCACAACTAGCTTCCTTCCCCCTCTGGGAGAATCCGATACCACGCCCCATAGCAAAGATGAGATAGCTTGCGCAATAGTATAAGCCGTCTGAAGATATGCGGATTGTGTAATCACTTCAGCACTGGATAATGATGGATCAAGTGATTTTAGTTGGTAGTAGATGTACGCTCCGATAGAAACCCTGACGACTGGTTCACTGAATCGTATCATGAAAAGTAGGAATAGCTGGTCTTTTCGTGGTAGAGAAGACCAGCTTACCGATGCGTGACCATCTGACATACTGAGATTGTTGGTATCCCTATTACAGGGTAGTTGGTTCGAACCGTGGGTTGACGAAGAGATCAATTGAACTATATGAATTTCTGCGTAGGTGTAAAAAGGAGGTTCCAACCGTAGGTTGGGCTGGCTACGATAATCGTAAATAGGGCCCCCAATTGGCCCCTGCGCAGTTGGCCGTATGCCGCGGTCGAATTGGACTTCCAATCCGACAGAGATGTCAAGAGTCTAGCTTTGGCGATACCATCAGCGGTAGCAGTCGTGTGTTGGTTCGGAGTAATGTGCCATGTAAGCGTTGTTCTTGATGGAGGGCAAAGTTGGCGGATACATGCCTTGGAACTCGAGAAGATCGTTGGCACCACTGACCAGCGTTTATTCGATACACAAGTGCCCGCTCCCTTTACCAATCAAGCCATATCGGCAGTATCATTCATCATAGAATTCCAATCTTATGTCCAGCCCCATTCATCAGGCACTGTGCTGATCCTGACAAGGGTGGCTCGTCGGCAAGAACGGGCCAAGGAACTCGGTTGATAAACAGAGTTTACAAGGTACCCGCTCGCATGGGTAATATGCGTAATACGTGGACACGAAAGAAGGACTGAGGAAAGTGAGAAGTTACACGCTACACACTCCAGGGGCAACCAGCATGTGCATCCGACTCATGACGCCGTTGCCGCCGGAGTGTTCCGCAGCAAAGTATCTATCCGTAATTGACCAGGGCTAGGAAGCGCATGGCTCTTCCACGCCGGAAACAGACAGCAGTCTCCGGCGAGGACTCGGCGACACCAGGTCATGCTTACATCTTCTACTATAACAAATCAACCTTGAGCTCTTGCAAGTATCTCCGATCAATGTGGAACAGGAGGCAGCGTCACTCACCTCATCCTGTTCATACAGGAAATGCCTCGTGTCACAGTGGGCGAGCCGACCTCAGGGGCTCTCTACTCTCCCGGATCTGCGTCTAGCACAGAGGACCTAGAACTAGCAGAGCTTGGGGAAGAAATTCCCCAGAAGCACACCTTGCTCAAGCTTTCAGGCTTGCTCCTGCTCACGTCTCCTAGTCTAGGCCTTCAAGTGTGTTGGTTTCTTTTGACTTCGAGCGGCACTGTCAGTCTTTTACCCTTCAACCCAACCCCAGCTGAGTGACTGACGAATAGCTCAAAGCCCTACTTGATCTCGCTAGGCATTCCCAAATCCATTATATCCTTGGTATGGGTCACCGGTCCTATATCTGGCGCCTTTGCGCAGCCTATTCTCGGTGTGTTCAGCGACGATTCACAACACGCCTGGGGTAGAAGGAAGCCATTCATCGTAGGAGGTTCGCTATGCGCAACTATCTTTCTGCTAGCATTGGCGTACTCAGAGGAACTCACAGCTTGGGCATGGAGTTCCAGTGTTGATCGTTCCGCCAGCTCGGCGCACCTACCGACGCAGATTCTTGCAGTCTTCTCAGTCGTTGTCACTACTTTTGCACTGCAGGCATACGCAGTCGGCGTCAGGGCTCTGATAGTAGATAACACCCCTCCCAGTCAACAGTCTGTCGCAGCCTCCTGGCCATGCGATGGAACGTGCTAGGAAACGTGGTGCTCTCTTCTGTTGGCTTTGTGGATGCCCAGTGGTCCTCGACTGACGTAAACAGCGATGACCGTTTCAAGTTACTCGCCGTTGTGGTTGCAGCTTGTACCTTCACGACAGTCGGTCTCACGTGCTTTTTCATTACTGACCAGAACGTCGCACCTTTGCGTGACCGCCAGCCCTCTTTTGCGCAACAGTCATGGTCCATCATCTCACCGACAGGGCTAGCCAAGCGGTGGAAACAAATCCCTCCACGCAGCCGCCGGGTTTGCGAGATCCAATTCTGGGCGTGGGCAGGATGGTTTCCTGTTTTATACTACATGTCAACGTAAGCAGCGTCCGACTCCTATAAAAACTTTTGCGTCCAGTGACTAACTCGTGGACTTGATTCAGGTTCGCTTATGAGACAGGTAGAAGACCAGAACTGTTGAAGTACTTCCAATACTAACATCTCCCAGCCCTTTCTGACAAACTCGAGCAAAGGCAAAGGCAATTTGGGGAACCAGATCTAGAACTCATCGAAAGTGCAAAGGACTTTGGTTTCTTTGCCTCTTTTGCTTTCGCACTAGGAGCATTCGCTGCGAGTATTTTGCTTCAGATACTTGACCGCTACAAGCCGGCCCTCTCTCACAACCTTCCCAGAGTCTGGTTTGCTTCGCAGTGCTTCTTGGGATACTGCATGCATCTCACCTTTGTCGCACGCAGCGGAGCCACGGCGGCCATCGTTGTCGCCATGATGGGATCCACGGCTGCCGTAACGATGTGGGCTCCATTTGCCTTGATCAGCGCAGAGATCTCTAAGCTATCCGTTGGAAAGTGTCAATAGGTATGTGACACAGGGAAGAAGCTTATAGAGGCTAACTACTATTAAGGTCTAAAAGATAAATTACTAAAATCTACCCTTCCCTCGAGGTATATTACTAGCGCTTTATATATACTTAAGCTATTCTTTTATTACTTAGTCCCCCTCTTTATACCTTTTAAACTATTTTTTAACTAATAAGATCTAATTAATAAAGCTTAATAAAGTACTCCCTCCCCTAGGCTTTATCCTAAAAGCTATTTATAGTTTATATATATTATATTAATTTTTTATTTATAAAATTTTTTAATATATAGTATAAGGGTAAGTAAAAGTAATACTTATTAACTTAAGTATAGACTTCTTATTTTAAATAATAAGTTCGGTTAGCTTTATAATTCTATACCCGGGTCGCTCTTATTTATAATCCGTTTTTTATAATTACTAATACTTAAGTAGTTATTATCTTATTTTTATTTACTAATATTAACCCCTTTTTAAGCTACTACGATTCTTAATTTTTTTTTTTTTTATTTATAGTTATTTTAATTATATATAGTCTTTTACTTTTATTAACGTTTACGCTACTTCCTTATTACGTAAATTTTATAACTAATAAATATCTTTTAGATTTCTTAATTTCTTATACTCCTCGTATCTAAGTTAGTCTTTTTTAAAGTCGTACCGTATTTATTATTAATTTTATTTTAATATAAGTATAGCTCTTTTTAATAGTGTTATTATAATTAATAATAAACCGGTTATTAGTACTATAAGTACGCTTAGTAGCGGCGGTAATAGCTATTTATTTAAAAAGCTTAATATTCCCTTTATTTACTTTAATCTCGTATATATATTACTACTTATATACTATTTATACTAATTATTATAAACTCTTATTAAAAAAAAGAAAAAGGTAAACATTAAAAAAATTATAGTTAGCTAGGTACGCTTACTCCCCTATTTTATTTATATTATATATAAAGTACTTAATCTAAAAATTAAATATTATAATTAGCTAGATCGGTAATTTATAACCCTAAGTTCGCTCTTTTATTTAATATTTTTTTAAAATTTAGTATATATTATATAGAGTATACTATATAAAACTATTTTTATAAAGATATAGTAAGTACTTAGTACTATTATTACTCTATTACTTTTTTTATATATTAGTTAATAATATTTTAGGTCCTTAAGTTTACGGAATTTATAATACGAACTTTTTAAAATACTACTCTTATTTTAAATAATAATATTTACGATTCGGAGGTTTATTATTCTATTATTATTTTATTATTATTATTATTTAGGTTATTAATATTATTTTATAGCTCTAATAGATTTATAAAATTATTATTAATAATACGTAAAGGGTGCTTAAGTATATTAATAAAGAGGCCCGTTTTACCCCTATTATTAATAATAATAATAATAAAATAGCTATAAGCTCTTCTTATACTATATTTTCGTCCTATAATAATATAATAATCGTATTATTACGTACTATTTATAATAAGGTATGCTACTTAAATAATATTTTAAAAAGGGTATAGTTATTTTACTTATACTCCGTATTTATAACTAATTATTTATAGATTTATTAATAATAAAATAACTACTTCTTTTTTAATAATCTTAAGGATAAGGATAAGGGTGGCCCTTTTATATATAAGGGTAGTCCTTTTATAAGTAATAAGGATTAGAGAAATCGTTCGTAATTAGTACGTTTATATTACTTAGTTATAGTTATATAGCCCCCTTTTTTTATTATTAATAACTAATTTATTATATTAATAAGCTTATTAAGAGCTAGAGCGCGCTATTTAATTAAAACTTATTCTCTATATATACTAATTAACGCTATATTTTTAATATACTTAATTAGCTCTTACGTATCTTTATTATTATTATATCCCTTTTACTAAATTAAGTATTATTACCTCCTCTTTAGCCCTCTATATTATATAATATTTTTTATTTTATAAAATAGCTCCCTATTTATATCCTTAATAAGTAAGGGCTTCTAAGGGGCTTTTTTATAATATTAATACGGCTTAAGTAGGGATATATAGAATATATTATATATTTTATATTACGTTAGTATATTTAATTAGTAAGCTACCCCTACTATTTTAATTATTAATTTAATTTTAAATAGGCTTAGATACTTATTAACTAACTTCTAACTAGGGCGCTACTTCTTAATATTCTTTCCTAATAATAATACTTAGTTACCTATTTTATATAATATATTTATTTTAATTTTATTAGCTTATTATTTATACGTCTCGCGTACTTTTTATATAAGGGGTTATAGAGCTTTTTAATTAGCTTATAATCGGGCTATACGCTCTTTAATTAAAATATTTTATATACTATCTCGAGTCTTTATAAAAATTAATATAAAATAAGTAAGTAAGAACCTAAGTAGGGCCTTAGTAAGCGCTTTATAGATTACTAAGTACTAAGTATTATTATATATAAACTCGGCTAAATAAAAATACTATACTTAATCTAATTAGTTCTAAATATAAAAGTAGTAAAAGTACTATTTTAAATATTAGTTCTACCGTTCTATTTAATCGTTTATTTATAAATAAAAAATAGTATTAAAATACTTTTTTATTATTAAAAAGTAATAAAAATAAGTTTAAAACTTATTTATAAATAACGAGCCCCTATTAAAAACGATCTTTTTAAGTATTTTAAACTTTATAAAAATCTTTATAAATAAGAGGTTTATAAATCCCTAAGTTATAAGGGTCGTCCTCGTAGTAATATAAATACTATATTTTATAAATCGGTTTATTATAATAAGTACTACGTCATAAGGGCGCTTTTTAATTAGTATAGTTAATATAAATAAGTCCGTAATAAAATTTAGTAATATTTTTTATTATAGCCTAACTAGAGTAAGTAGGGGGTATAATAAGCTATATAGCTTATAATAACGAGGTTTTATCCGCTAGTATACTATATAAATATTAATATAATTTTTTATATCCTTATTTATTTTATTTTAGTAATAGTAGCGTTTTAATAGTACTATTATTTATTTTATATTATAATATCCTGCTATAAGTATATTATAATATATTTTAATAACCTCTTTTCTTAGCCCTTTATATAATAATATATAGGCATAGCTATTATAATATAATAGCCTTTTTAAATTATATACTTAGTTTTATTATTATTATTTTTTAGTTAAGTAAGGCCGTCGGTTTTTTTTAGTTTATTACCTATTTTTTATAAAAATATTTTTTTATTAAATAGCTCGTAATCGACTTATTATTAATAACCCCTTTTTACTAAATACTATTTTAAATACTCTTATTACGTTAGAGTTTTATAAAACGAGTAGTTTATAATTTATAGTTTTAGTAATAGGCTTAAATAGCTCCCTAAGTATTATGTTATAACTCTAATACCCTAGGCTCATAACCCCGTTATATTTTTTAAAATACTCTTTAAAGCTCCCTTAAGCCAGAGCTCCTAACCTCTTTTATTTATTTTTTTATATTATTATTAATTCTATTTTTAAAATACTTATTATCCTTTTTATTTAAAAACCGCTTTTATAGTTCGTTTTTATATATTTTATTATTATAACTCTTAGGGGCTCTTATATATTTTTAATATTATATAAGTCTTTTTTTATTTTTAATAATAGCTCTTCTGCTCCGTTATTATTATTACTTTTATTATAATTAGGTCTTTATAATAGTTTATTTACTAAGTTTTTAATATTTAATTTAAACCTAATCTTAATATTAAATACTACGAATTCGTTTAGTTAGCGTAATTATTTCCTATTTAGCCTCTTTTTAATATCTAAGAACTATAAATTAAAATAGTTTATAAATACTATAACCTAATCTTAGTTATAAATAAAGTAATATTACTAATTTTTTAGTATGTTTATAATAATTAATAACTCCGTATTTTTTATATTATAGCGGCTCTCTATATCTATTAATTTCCTTAATTTATAAATAATTAGGTACTAATTACTTTTAAATAATTACGTAATTATTAAGCTAATAGCTCGAGCCGAAATATTTATTTATAACTACGTAAGTAGGGTAGGGTTAAAATATTATAATATTAGCGTATTAATAAATACTATTAATAACTTCTTAAACGATTTTATAATAAGTATTAATAACTCTAACTATCCCGGTTTTACTTTTTTTAATAAGTCCGTTAAAAATATAATTATCTTAATATAGTTATTAATAAATTTATAATAAAACCCCGTAAATTTAAAGAATATTTATATATTTTTAACGCTCCTCAGGAGTAGCTAATTTACTATAGCTTTAATATACACAAGTTCTATTTTTATATTTTTATTAAATACGATATATTTTAAGAATTTTATACATAATATATAGAACTTATATTTATTACTATTTAAATATAAGTTCTATTATTATTATTTTTATAATACGCTATGTACGTACTTTTTATATACTACGTAGTTATTATTATATATTAAAATATTATTTAAATATATAATATAAACGGTATTAATTAGGCTACTTAGAACGTTATTAATATATACTTAAAAAGTCGTAAGTACGTTAGTTAATTTAAAAAGTACGATTAGGTACTCGAACTACCCGTATTTAGTATAAAAAGCTATTTTTTATTTATTACCCTTAACTATACGTATATAATAATACGTATTCTTAAAGTTTAGCTTTATAAAAACGGAGGTATTAAATAATCTATTTAATATTTTTTTAATTAGTAATAGTAGCGTTCTGTTTTTTTATATAATCTTATTAATTACTTTATAATTAATATAAAATTATAACTCTCCTCCTTTTTTAAGTATAAAAAGGATAAGTATTCTAATTAGGCTTATAAAAGGGCATATTTAGCTCTTAGCCTCTACTTTTATTAAATAATTTCGTAAAATCTCGAGCTTATAGTTCGATAATAAGTAAATAAATCCCTAAGGGATAAGTATAGCATTATTTAATTTAATATAATAGTCGTATAATACTCTATTTAGTAACGAAATAGCCTTTTTTTTTAAGAATAAGTTATTAAAATCTTAGTATTATAGTTTTTAATCCTTAGCTATGCTCGCTAGTATTATATTACTATTTATAGTTAGGTTAATTATAATATATATAAGTATTATTAAAACTAAGTCGTTTAATAGCCCCTTTTTTAGGGTATTTAAGCGGATATATTATTTATAAATTAAATACTACTACTTCTTTTATTTTTAACTAATTAACGAGTTAATATTTTTTAGTTAAAAAAAACCGAGAATAAGTATAAGTATTATAATATTAGCTATTATAAAGCGATATAGCTATGTCTTTATTACGTTATTATTATTAGTAATTCGAAGCTATAAATAGTAGCTCTTTAGTATTTTTATTTACTTACTCTCGACGTTTATTAATTATAATAATAAGTAAATTCGTAAATTAGTATCGAAGTTATTAAATAGCCTAATACTAACTACGTTCCTTTTTACTTTTAAATCGATAAGAGTACTTAGCTTTTTTTATATATAGTTTAGGTATATATAAATTAAAATATCTAAGCGCCGCCCTTATTAATTACTAGCTACTCTCTTTATTAAAATAATATTCGAGTTTATTATTAATCTATGCTATTTAATTAAAATAAGGTCTAATTAATAGCTAGTAGCTTTATACCCCTTTTAATTATATTTACAGTATATAATACTAAAATAGCTATTAACGAGGTACTTAGTTTTATTATAGTTATAATATTACTAATACTACTCCTATAGTTATAAATAATCCCTTATAATATAGCTAGTTTTTTTATAATTATAATACGTAGTATCCTTACTAAGCGAGTTATAGTATATTCTTTACGTAGTTAGCTTATTAATACCCCTATATCTCCTTACTAATTTATTTAAATTTAAATTAGAATATTACCTAGGGGACGTTCGTAAGCTCCTTATTAATAATAAAGATTACTTAATACGTTTTATTAATAATATTAACTATAAATAAGTCCGTAAAAGTTCTATTTATAATATTATTATAAAGTATAGTTCGGGCCGTAGCTTATTTATTAATATAAAGATCCTTTATTTTTTTATTAAAATATATTTTAATTCTATTTCGAGCTTATTAATATAATTAATAAACTCGTTAACCCTCTCTTTTTAATTTTATAAAGTACTATTTAAGTATATATTTATTACTATCCCTTAGCTAGTAGAATTAGATAAGTTATTTTATAAAAAAGTCTCTAGTTCTTCTTATATAACTTAGTTTATTATAAACCTAGGGACCCTTTTATAATTAAAAATATAGTATATTTAAGAGGTTTTTATATTACTACTTAAGTAATTAATTATATATACTACTTTATTACGGTTTATTTTTATTTATTAAGCTTATAAATTAAAATAATAGTAATAATTAAATAAAAAGCTCTATAAATCCCGTACTAATTTATTAATATATAATAAGTTAAAGAGGGATAATAATTTAAATATAAATATTCTGTTTATAGTACTTATTTAAATTAAAAAAGAGTTAATAAATAGAGGTTTAAATAGTACAAACTCGTCGCTTTATTATTATTTAAATAACGCTTTAAGTATAGTTTTATTTATTAAACTATTTTTAGTTTAGGGGTTTATATTTTTATTTATATTAAAATTAATATCCGAGGCTATTATAGTTAAAACTATAGTTCTTAATACAGGGGCCGGGCTATTTAAAAAGCTTTATAAGTATTTTAAATTTATTTATTTTTTATATAATTATTTTTTATACATTATTATAAAGATTTCTTTTTTTAATTATCGTTCTTATTTTTATAATTTTATCAGTTTATTATTTATTATTTAATTTAAATATTAATAAATAAAGGTAAAAAGTTTACTATTTTATTTAAAATTTATTAATACTTTTAATAATACGGTTTTTTTATATTATTATTACGTAATTCGTTCTATTATAATCTATTTTTATATTATTTATTAAAAAAGAAGTAATTTTAAGGGGTTTAATAAAAACGAGTTATTTTTTTTTTTATTATAATATTAACTACGCTCTCTTATTATATCTCGTTTTTATTAATATTTTAAGCTCTTAACTTAGTCTTTTTTATAAATAAAAATTTTAAATTATTAATAAATATATAATATAAAAAAAAAGCTTATAAAGACTAATTATTATTAAAATTTAAAAAATAAATTATTAAAATTTACCCTTCTCTCGAGGTATATTATTAATACTCTATATATACCTAAGCTGCTCCTTTATTACTTAGTCCCCCTCCTTATGCCCCTTGAGCTATCCCTTAACCGACGGGGTCTAACCGGCGAGGCCTAATAAAAAGCAGGATAGCGAGGTTGCATGGATCCTAGGACTGCACAACATGGCGATATCTCTCCCTCAAATTGGCTCAACTCTAGTTTGCGCAGTCATCTTGGCAGTTCTAAAGGTTCTCGGGGTCGAGGACAGTGTAGCCTGGATCTTTCGGCTATCCAGCATCGCTGTGTTTTGGTCAGCGTATCTAATTCATAAGTCACATTGACTGCGGTTCATGGAAGATGTCGCGACCATCTCATTATCCAGGGCTGGTAATTGTTCAGATTTGTATCTAGAAGCTAGCTACATTTATTCCTGAGAGTCAATGGAGATGTGGCCATGAACGCAGATCTTTAAACGTCTTTTCGCTCGTGCCTCCAAGTATCAACAACGATGCTATTTACCAGACCCTAGTGTTCCGGCTTCAAGGTACGCAGAAACTTGTCAGTATCGTGGACATCAAAGTCAAGAGTTCGCTTGGTAGCCCAAGCTTGAAGCTTGCTAAAGTCGGTGCATTGGCGATGTCCGGTCCTGTTAGCCTCAATGTCCATCATCTCCTTACCCTTGATAGTCCCCCCTTCTTTCCAATGATACGTTCCGATCGATGTGTCTGCGTTGCACATGATACCTTGGATGAGTACGTTGAGACAATGAGCTAGATGACCGGGCTTGGTCGAATGTCCACTGCCATAGTGATCCATGTATTGGGACTTCCAAGCACTCTTCTGTTGGCCAGTCAGTGACGTGACAGCGAAGAAGGTGAATTATTCTCGGGAATGGTAAATCAAGGAAGACGCCACTTACAACACAATGCAACATGTGGAAAGACTCCAAATAACCGATATACCCGCTTCCGTCTTTGAGGGCGAGCGAGGTCTTTTGCATTCTGTTCATCTCATCTTCGGAGAACCTGAGCATGAATGCTTCATGGAAGTTTTAGGATCTGATGTAGCGAATGCTGAGCTGTGGCGTTGAACTCACGTTTTTCAAGTTCTTCCCACGCCTTATCAGCTTCAGGGCCGGGCGGACCGGTGAGCACGTTGTCGGGCAACATAGGGGCTTCCTCCTTGACTGTATAACGAATAGCCATCTGTGCCGGTGCTACGACATTCGATATCAGTGTCATTGCATGACCATGATACTAGGCGAAGGAAATTTTCTCACAGTAGGCTCTTTCGAGCACTGCGGCCTCTGGCCCGATGTGTTTCCCAACATCACTGATATTGTAGATGAGGAACGCAACGTTGAATCCCAAGAAGATAACATGGCTGACCCAGAGTCTCTTTCGCCAGCGGGACTCAGTCGATCGGTCTTGCCGCAGTTTCGATCTCTCAGCCGGGGCTAAGTCGAAACTGGAATCGCCACTTTCGCTCGGTAAGAAGGGCTTCGCATCTTCAGAAAGAGACGACATGGTGTGAAGAATCCTAAAGTGTGCAAGTCTAGGTGTGGCAGCAAATAGCACGTCTAGGGACTCTCGAGTCTGAAGTTGACTGAGACAGGAGACTCTGAAGGGTGCCTCAAGGACAAAGAGGCCGGCGTCAGTCAAGTCAGGCAAAGGTGGCAGGACGACGACTGCCCAGGCAGTCGGTCTAGACCGGTTATCGAAGGAGGGTTCACCGTTACCTTCTGGTAATACCAGCATCCACCAAACCCACACCCAGGCTTGGAGATCGGAGTAACGGCACGGAGGAGGCAGAATTAATTCTTGGGGTGTGTCCATGATACCAGGGTACATGATTGACGTTCCATCTGCTGTCAACAAGCCTTGGCGTGAGGATACTTCCCGCCCCAGGATCATGATGTGACGGTCTTCCTAGCCACCTGATATCTGATGAACTCTATCTTCCGGGCCTCTCACCTTTGTGGCATAGCCTCTCGCATCCGGTGGGAGTATTTTTCGCCTACTGCTAATTCTACACCAAGGGGCTCTCTTAGAGTAGTTTTAAGAAGCGAAAGATTCACCAAGTATTACTGCCCACGCAGAGATTCGTGAGCAGCCTGTACAAACCATCAGATATGGCTGGCCGGCCTCCTCCAGATTGACAATGTCTCCCCTTCCGTGGCAGCGCGGTCACTCGTACTTTCTTTTGACGAATTCACCTATTCCGTTCCCACTATCGTTACTGCTGCCTGCAGCGCGCTTGTGAAACAACGACCACACAAGACATGTCTACAACACCTGCAGTCAAGTATAAGCCGGTCTCTGACGACGGTTTCGAGGACGTGAAGACCGACGACGACCACGAAGAATACCCCTTGGATCAGAGAAAATGGAAATCCAGTAGAGGCACATCAAGGTCAAAGAGAGCACTCCAAATACTTGCTTCACTCCTCATCCTGGCAATTTATACGTGGGCAGTACTTTACTATGCCCGTGAAGTCATCTACAAGCCATTCTGCCCTCGACTCACGACACCAGACACGGTACATGTATGGGTATGTTGAACAACTTCGGAGCAATTCTTGAGTTATTGTTGTTTCTTTCACTGACTAGACCGTCTCTCTTTCCAGGACAAGGTTGAGTTCAACCCACAGCCCGTAAATCCAGTGACGCCAGGTCATGACCACCCACTTTTGGGCAACCCGAGCCCAGAGGTAGATGCAAATTGGTCTGCATTACTTTCAGGCAAGCCCTTTGTGTCGGTTGATTTGGAGCCTCGACACCGGTTCACTAATCAATCGCAGCGTTTGCCAACCGAATCCCGGAATCCGAGGTACACCGACTTGGCATGGAGGCAGATGCGATACCTTTCAACGATGGAGAAGGCGGCTAGTAAGTAGTCATAAAGGATAACGTTCTTGTTGGCAGTACGATCTGGCTGACTGTAGTGAAGTCTTGGGGGCCTTGCTATGGTGCATAACTTACACTGCATCGTAAGCCTCGATGTCCATTCTCCCGGCGACGTTTCGAATGCTAAAGTCTTACTCCGTTGTAGAACTATTTATACCAGGTTGCGCATAGAGAGTACTATTACACTCCCAATACCACGGAGAAGGAGGATGCAACTCAGAAGAGCCATATTGGTCAGTTGAAGTCTTACAAGAATGCGTGCTTAAGTCCGGACTGGATCCCGGCGGCATTGATGTACAAATATGTAAGAGAACTTGTAGCTGATTCCGACTTTGCCTCAGGACACTGTCTCCATCATATCATGGAGTCCGTGAAATGCCAGGCAGATTTGACCCCCGTTCTACTTCATTGGACTCTCCACGATTTCCACTCGGTCATTAACTGGGACGGTGTCGAACGTACCTGTGCCGACTGGTCACAGTTGATGGACTGGGGTTCAGAGCATTCCGTGAGAAAGTCTACTTCCATATCTCAATTCACAGGTGAGCAAAACTGGAATTAGGATATTGAGGATGGCTGATAAAGATCTGTGTAGACACGAAGCATCCAATTTACGGTAAGTTTGCCGTGGTCGCGGTGTTGAAACTCCTACGTGTCCCCTCTGTTCACCACTCCTCGAGCAGTCCCAGCACCAAATTGACTATTGCTAATGATTGCCAATAGGCAACTTCTTAGACGAACACGGCAAGTTCAGCTGGGTAGATCAAGAGGGAGGTGTTGACTACAAGGAGTTTTTCAAAACGTCAGAGTACCAGAAGTGGGCAAGAGAACAGGGGCTCGCCTCAGGAGAGGCCGCGGCGGAAGAGTACCTAAGGTCGTTTTACGTCAAGCAGTGAGATATAGTCTCCAGTCAGAACCGTCTCAAGTATCACGTGGGCCATTGGTTAATCTTGAGGCATCTATATTGCACATCAGCTATTGTTGGGAAACAAATGTTTCGTCAGTGATCCGTCTGTTGGGATAGAAGGAGAAGGTTCTCTCAAATGCAGCTTCCCCATGGAGTACACTTAGGATCTTCCAATTTCGTCTTTATGCAATGGTTCTTGGATGTTCTTCTCTGACATGATAACTAGAGGTTGGACATTTTATTGCGACGTTGATAACACCCGTGCCTCCGAATTCCTAGGGAGAACAGGCTGCAGGCATTCTACACCAAGCAAAAATAGATGAGAAATAAGCAGACGCGGTCTTCACGCTGAGATCATTCGTCTTAGTTGGCAATAACAATTGCTGCCGTGACATCTCAGAAGCTGACAGACCGTGACCTAGATCATCGTCGTGGTTAGGAAAGAGGTAGTTGTTGCGGATTGAAGTGCACTCGCACCCAACGAGATGACAACTACCATTGGAAGGTTCGTCATATCAACGTAAAGAAGAAGTCTCCTCAAGGGTAGATCGTCTACCCTCCGGAAAGACACGGCGCTACTCTGAACAGCTCACACGATGATGCTTTCCCGGACCTAATCAACATCTATCACTTCTTTCAGGTTCAGACGCAGTATCCTAAGCAATGTACTTCCGCCGAGAACTGCCTGATGCAGGACTTCCTGGCGATGAATGAGTGCAGGGCAATATCCGTGAGCTTTGCAACAGATACAGATGTAGGGGAGCAACAATACATAACCCGTTACAATTACACACCACCCGGCAAGCTACCGAACACCATGTTCGCAAGAGACTCGCTACACAGACCACCATAGAAGGCAAACCAGACCAAAACATCTCAGAAACAAACGACACACCACGGAAAGTCACTCTGTTTGAAAGAACAAAGATCTCAGCCCTAAAAAATGTCGCAGATCATATTTTCCCTTCCCCCAACCAAATCACAAAAGCCGCGCGCCCTCAATTTATCCGTTTCCTCCCACAATCCGAAGAAAGGGACGCCCTGTCAACAGGGAGAAAAAGCTGACGAGTCTGACGAGTCAAACAAAGAAAAGTGTGCGCCCCGAGCTTTCTCAAAATCTCTTACACGCCTGTCGCCTGCAACCTCAATGACACGCGGCGCGGCGGCAGTATCGCCGCAAGGCGGAAAGCAAAGACCACAAGTTCAACGTCTCTCAAACCCAAACCCGGGCGCCTCATCCCCATACATTTCACCTATATGGGATGTCGAGCTTGAGAAGGGGAAACCAGAAACCAAGGCTGGAGGAGGGTGGGAAATTTCTCATCAACGCCTCATCGGGCCTACTTTGAATCAAGCTTAGTCTTGGCACGTCACACGCCAAAACTTGAGGCATCGGAAGACACACACGTCTTTCGTGTGTATACGCAACGGCGATGATCCACAATGGAGGAGCCTCTGACGCTGGACCGGATTCTGAATCACCGCGAGGGAAAAAAACCTAGAGAGGTTCGGCCGAGTACAGACGAACACGTAACGCAAGTTGAGAGGGACCTCTCAAGGGAAACCTGTCTCGAAAATTGATGAACGAGGCACTCAGTGGCCTAAACAACCCAAAGAGCCGGGATCAACCAGAGACCAGACAGCCACCACCGCTGTGAACGCCATCGTCTGATTCTCGCAAGTCACTCATCAAACACAGGATTACAAAGCTCAAAAACGCCTGTCCGAGACAGGAGATTATGGTATCTCGTATGTACAGGCTCCTCTGAAGGCTCAGCCAGGCGTGTACACACCCGCGCAACTCTTGTCTGTCTTGAATCGCAATGTGTTTCCCCCCTCTCCAAACGCCTTGTTCAATGGAATTCCCAGGCTAGAAATTCCGGCCATGATTAGATCATGAAGCACCCGTTTGTGCCCGGATTCTCATGCGATGCAAATGCAGTTTCATGAAAGCTCCCGCCTTGGATGAAGAAAAAAGACCAGAAACAAAACAGAAAGACCGAAAATTGGTGGGAGACGGGAAGATGAATAGTCTTTGGGTCGTCGAGACAGACATGCTTTGCCCCTTTCTTCAACGCGCAGCGACTCCCCTCACTGCATCCCGTCAACACCCGCCCATAGTTCCAATCCTCGTTTGTAGATGCCCATGGGTGCGAGAAAACGAAGAAAACCGGTGATATGCCAATTGAAACGGCTCTTGTCCGTTATCCAACCGTCGAGTAACGTCGGCAAAAGTCAGCCCTTGAACATTCTCCGGAAATAGAGGCGCCCCTCCTCGTCATTATTAGTGAAGTTGAATTTTCTTGACCTCCTGTCCAACGCCGGTGTGTTTTGGTGTGATTCCGTCGATACGGCTCCTTGAGTTTGACTCCTCACATCACAATGCAATCCTTGTCCTTATCCTTCTCTTCGCCGCCCTTCTTGATCTTTCCACTACGGGGAGGGGCGACTTCCATCGGGGTGCCGCCGCTGACAGCTGCCTGGATAATTGCCAATCGCTGTTTCGCGCGCTCATCGCCTGCGTCTGCAGCCTTGACATACCAGACATTGGCCTCCAAGATGTCACGCCGGCAGCCGATGCCCATCTCTGTGAAGTAGCCCACAGCGTACTGGGCCTTGACGAAACCTGCATAGGTGTGATTAGCCTTATTGCCTCATTCAGTCGATATTTTGCAGAAATCTCTCAACTTACCCATCTCGGCTGAACGGCGAGCCCACTCGTAAGCTTCTTCTTCGTCCTTTTCCAAGATCGGTTCCGCACCGACCATGTACCATGCACAAAGGCCCATCATAGCACCGGCATGTCCTCGCTCAGCAGCACCAGTGTAGAAGTGCACGCTTAGTGCTGGATCGCGGGGGCAGCTGAGCTTCCCATGTTCATATGCCTCACCCATGCGGAAGTTGGCCTCTGGGTGGCCAAGTTCTGCGGCGGCGGTGAAAAGCTCTGCTGCGTAGACCTCGTCCTTGAAGATGTCGTCACCGTAACCCGTCTCGTACAAGCAGGCCAGCTGATACGGAGCTGCGCTGTAGACAGCATCGGCAGCCTCTGCTGCGAGCTTCATCCATTTGATACCCTCGCGGTACCGCTTCTCTCCCAAATCACCCGAGAGACAAGCCTTGCCGAGTCGGGACATTGCGCCTGGGTGACGCTTCGACGCAGACATGCGGAGGAACTGGACAGCCTTAGCAGGATCTTTGCGGCAACCCCAACCAAACTCGTAGCATAGCGCCGTGCGGTAAGCGGACTCGGCATGACCATGCTTTGCGGCGAGAACGAAGAGGGGGAACGCTTGGTTATAGTCCTCCTTTCCTTTGCTAAACAGACCAGAGGCGTATCCATCTGCGAGGTAGTATTGAGCAAAGGGGTATCCACCGCTGGCCAGCTTCTGGAGTATACCCTTTGCCTCTCGCAGGAGGTCGTAGGGAGTTGATGATGCGGAATTCTTTGGGCTAGAGTTAGCCTTGCGAGGTGCTGGCTCGCTAGGGTCCAGGCCTTGCTCTTGAGCGGTAGAGATGAGGAAAACGGCAAAAGAGTATTGGATAGAAAAGTCGTTTGTCTTCTTGACGTTTTGACGATACATCTCCAGTGTTTTTTGAGCTCCGAGGAGAGATGCATTGTTACCAACGGCATTGCGCAACTGGTTGTTATCAAAGCTGATCGGGGCAGGTGCTGGCTGAGGGTACGGCACGTTCAGTAGCTCCGCGTATGATGCTGGTCTCGTTTCCGGGGACCTGCGAGTGCCTGATGGTGTCCGCATATGTGATCCTCCAGGCATCAGATTTGGGGATCGCCCTCTGGGGGCATAATCCGAGATGGCAGAGTAGGCCGACGAAGGTCGGGGCATGGAGGTCCTTCTGGTGAAACCGGTAGGCGTCAGATGACGGTTGACGGGGGTTCCATCAGCGTTGAGGCTGGGGTTCGAAGAGGAACGACGAGCGTCAAGCTCCTGAGGAACACTAGAGACACGCTGAGGAGGAAACTCCTGATGGTGGTAGTACTGAAACATGGGGACAGAGTTGTTCTCTGGCATGTTGCCCTCCATTATCGAGCTCTCGGGAGACTCGTCTTTGTATTCGGATGACTCGTTGATGCCAGAGACGGAGCTCGCGCTTGTCGTCGCAGAGGACTGCGCCGATGCCTGCTGTTGGGCGTTGCTCGAAGTGGTGGTGTTCGATTCCCGACTATGGCGATTGGCATCTTGAGCTCTTGCGCTGTGAGCACTGAAGCTGTCCGATCCATGGGTCCCCCGCTTCGGCCTGTAGCCCTGATCATGGCCATTTTGGTGGGGGGTGAGAGAGCTGGCTGGACTCAAGTAATCGGGTTCGGCAGTGTAGGAGTTCGACGTTTTGAGAGGAGGCAGCTTATTTCTGTCATGGCTTTGCATTTGTCGTTCAGCCTGGTCGTAGCCCGAGGTATGCGAAGGAGGGGTAGGGGCGTTGTATTCTCGGGAACGATCAACTGTAGAAAACTCTGCTTGGTAGGGTTGTGCCAGCTCGATGTTGGCATTGGATGGCTGGGCCCAGTTCTCGGCTTGAAAGTTCACCCTGACAGGAGAAGCGGGAGCGTCCCGAATTCTTGCCGACACCGATTTGCGGCCGGCGTCGTCGCCCAAAGTAATACGCTCGGGGGAAATGTGTTTTCGAAGATGGTTCGGGCTTGCAGTCGGAGTCATGACGGACGGTGTCGGAGCCGTCGTGGCTGCCATTGAATCGCCGAAAGCTGGACAGCAGGGTGTCTGAATGTTTTCTTGTCGCAGGAATGTCGATGTGAGGCAGATTTGGTCCAACTATATTATGGTTGTTGTGTAAGCCCTACACAGCGCTTCTTTTTTTGTTGATACCCAAGGCTTGTTCTAGGACATGGACAAGGAAGGAGACAAGATTTTGGCCTTGGTAGTCGTGCAAGGTGTTTCTTCGTTGTGAGGGAGGCAAGGGGAAAGGAAGCGGTCGTTGAATGTGGGCTGGTTGTGTTTCTTCCTCGGCGTGCCG